TCACCATTATACAACCCATATTGCATTAAAAAGGCTTTACACTGGTTGGTATTGCGTCATATATCTCAGGTGGCACTACAGGAACTGGAGAAGCAGCAGGGCAGGCAAGGCAGGCAGGACAGAATGAGAGACAGGCAGAAGAGAATGCTCAGTAATGCACATGAAAGCAACAATACTTTTCATTGTTGTGTGATCATATCCAAGCTTTATAAGTGGGAGCCAGTGATATCATGACTTGTTCCATGGGCAGGGCACCCCGCTCCTCTGAGCATGACACTATGTTTCTGTCAAGATTCTTCGTAAGGATAAACCTGGATGAGAGCACTAAGTGCATGGGAACAGTTAATACAAGCCACAAGACAGGAGGTGCTGTCCAGAAAAAAGTGACAAGTGGCAGCTCCCGGGTCACAACTTTTCTCTGACAGCTCACTGAATTTGAGTGGAAGACATGCAACTAGGTAAGTATTTTCTCATCTGATGTAATTTATTAAACAACAAACATTTTTAGGTATCTTTGAGTCTTTTTCATGGAATTTGTCTGGATGCTCATTTAATCTTTGAGTTTCTTTTGTTTATAAGAAAATACAATTGACACAATACAGTTTGTGTTACAGCCAATACTGCTGTAACTGTGGGGGATCGGGCCTTTTGCTCTGCTGCCCCTCGTCTTTGGAATGCCCTCCCAGACCATCTGAGGGCACCACAGAATGTAGCCACTTTTAAATGTGGCCTAAAGACCCACCTTTTTAAGCGAGCATTTCATTGCTGATTTTATGTGTTTTTATGTGCTGATTTTACTTTGTAGCACTTTGAGATTTGTTTTAATGAAAAGTGCATTAGAAATAAATTTATTATTAACTGTGACCAGTGTGATGTCCAGCTGTACTATTGGGTGATCTGAATTAGCCCAGAGTCTGTTAGGTTGTCTAGTTTATGCAAGTTCAGTGGCCATATTCTTTGGCAGTGCCTTTGTGCTTGTCATAGCACAGCACCACCGTGGAGTATTTTTTTTTACTGCAGTCAAATTACAGGGTTTGAAAAATCATTTGAGAATGACAATTTTTAGGCCTGGAGAAGTTTTGGAAAAATATATAAATCCATAAAGTTTTGGAAATGTCATGGATATTGGTAAAAATGTGTATGGAAATTAGAAATTTCCATCAAACGAGAAAAAAAATGTTTAACCATGTTGCGACCAACAGGCAGCAAAGAATGAGGAAGGCAGCCACTTATCAGTGGAGGAAAAACCCTGTAATATTATTAATATTGTGACTAATACAGTCTGTGTTACAGCCAATACTGCTGTAACTGTACAATACTGTACAGGTTGTTAGCCCTGTCTGTCCAACAATTTAGATGAGATAAACCTATGACCAGCAATCATAAATTTTCCATTTCTCTACAGGGCAACTGTCAGCAACATAACAGTGCCAATGTGCCAGTATGGATGCCAGCCTAGGATGGACTTTATAAACTGTGTACTTGTAGGCTAACACATAAACTAAACCAACTGTGCTGTTTTTTGTTATATTCATTATCTTGTTCCCTTTCTGTTCTGGAGCCGTTCATTCATTCTCAGGATGGGTGTTAGCTGTATTTTTTTACACTTTGTTCAGTTCAGATGAAAGTTGTTGGGGTGGTGCAGCTTGTTACAAAGGGTGCCCCACAGGGCTGTACAAGCACAGACTTATGAAATAATGATTATTATTTCATTTGACTTTCATATTATTCTTAAAGATACTGTTATTGCTACTGTATAACTTCATGGAGTATTTTTTTGTATTGTGGCATCACATTGATCAATAAGTCATTAATAATGGGTGCAATTAATAATGACAAAAAGAATTTTAAAAAATGGTGTCGTGAAATACAATTACAATAAATTATTATGCAACAAGACAAATACAGTATCATTCAACAAATTATAATTACAATTACTGTAAGGTTATTATACCATAAAAGTTGCAGTAAGGGTATTACAAGGATGTGTGGCAAGGATATTATACTGTACAAGGACATCATACTGAAAACACATATAGGCTACAGTATTTACTGTAAAGGGGGATTTATAGTAACTCACTGGTATTGCCAGTGACCAGTGCAAAAATACAATAAAATGTCTAACAGTGCATGAATATTTTTTGCTTTTAGTTAAAATGTTTTCCTGAAGTTTAAAGGCCTCATAAATTATACATATATGAAATAAAAACTCTCTGTTGTAAGCTAGGGTTTGTAACTTCCACATCTACGTGTTTTTTCTTAATTATCTAGTTGAGGAAGACGTGAACGTAAGTTTGCCTAGACTACGTCACCATCGCGTCTATACTTTAGGTGTGGAATTAGAACAATGAAAGATTATAGAATTAGCAGTTAATCACGTTGAATCGTGTTACTGAAATAGCCACTGTTGCAATATATTCTAGAAAATAAAAACATTTGAATACAAACAGTATACTGAAACGTGACCTCCATAAAATGTACGACACTGTCAAGAACCTCTTCCGGTGTGATCCGCTGAAACGTCTATTTACCGTAATGAAAGATAACAGCGCATAGATTTTTTCCCAAGCTATTAACGTTGCATAAATAAAGGCAAACACGTTTTATTACATACATATTGCAATGTCAGAATTTACCAGAAAATTGAATGAAAAACGCTAAAGAATAGAAGCGTCTTTAAAATTATTTCCCTAAAGATATAATTATACGATTCATTTATTCAGATTATGTAATCATACCATTACACGAGTTCTTAATCCAAATTAAGATCAGTGGGTATCACTGTTGCCTCATACCTAATGCCACCCTCCCACGTGTGGTGTTTTCATATTATCCCAATGTTGCTATGTTTTCTTGTGGGTACTCCGGTTTCCTCCAGCAGTCCGAACTAAGGTGAATTATAATTTGTGTGGATGTGCCCTGTGTTGGCATCCCTGCAGTCCTGCACCCCGGCCTCATTCCCCATGCCGCCTGGAATAGTTTCCAGCCCCACGAATCTACCGAGGACAAATAGCTAGATATAACGGATGGAATGACCAGATTAATTAATGTGATTTAGAAAAGCTCTGAGCAATTCCAATCTATTGATGGTGCGGCATGAACTGGAATTCGTCAATCTCTGATCTGATATGACGTATTGAAGTATTTGGATGGTCACTTGATCGGGTGTTTCAGACAAAAATAAATTTTAAACAGTGACTCGTTAAGCAGTGTTTTGTGGGAACCAGTCCAGATGTACATAGGCTGCAATTACATCTTGAAATGCATTGTTATTGTACATACACGAATGTCTTAATTATTTCTTAAAAGAACCCTGTTCTATTGAAATTACACCCATCATGATTTCTGAAAAGAAAGATTAAGTTATGCACACAGAGAGCTTTAATATTTTAAAGATATTTGCCTTAAACTATTAGTGCAAATGACGGATTACAACAGTGGTGTCGGATACATATATTTTTCTGGTTTGTACATGATGAAAATCATTAACCATGAAGAAGCATACAGTATAGGCTAGGTAGCATTGCCAAAAAAGTCAAATGTCATGCTACTCATAAATACCATTCTTATTTGCTGCTTTCAGGGCCTGGTAGAACAATGTAATTGAAATTTATCCGGTAACTTATTTTTTATTCTTGAACATTTTCGTTTTAAGATTCATTAACCTTTTGAGATTAACTCCCATTTAACTTTTAAAATATTTTTTCTATTTGAGATGTCGTGATTGTTATTATGCCTAATCTTTTTAATTATCTTAATTCTTTCAATATTCTAAAAATATGTTACATCCAGTTGATAGACATTATATCAATCTTTAACGTCTAAACCTCATTTGACTGTAAGTTATTACAGTAGACGTTTTCTGAAGTGAAATTATGCTTTTTTTGGCATTTGGACCGAACTATAACCATTTGGGCATTTGGGCACCACGTTCTCGGGGGTTACCAAGCAAGACAACACACCATAACTGCCCCCCGTCCCAGTCCCCCTTCCAAATTCCAATTTCCGAATGTCAGAACAAGTTAATGCGATTTCATATCTAATATATTTAACATAATTATCGATATCGTTCTTTTAATATGGAACTCATTGAAAAGCGTATGTCTCGTTTTTCCTATGATAGATGCGTTGCACAATTCCGTTAGCCACCAGTCAGCTCCGTTTCTTTCTCACGTAATGTCTTGTGTATGGTAAATTAGTATTTTGCTAGTTTGTTTTAATTTTAGTTAGCTAGCCAGAATCATGATAGATGTCAGCAGCTTAGTGGGTGTGAAAGAAAACGTAAAACATATGGTTACCTTGGAAAATGTGCCAGAAATTAGTCAAACCTGTCAGTTTTACTTAATTGTTACTTAATTGATGCTGTTTCTTGCAAGATCGTTTTTACATTTACCGTGTGTATATAACTAAAATATTTGTTGTTAAAAATTCGTTGTGATTAATGAATAAAGTTTGACTTGTTGCAGACTTTGTTCAGAATTTTTACACTTATGCATTTAACTTTTATCCAAAGTGACTTACAAGTCATGCAAAATCTACAAACCAATGCCAAATGTACAACACAATTACCACGTTGCTTGTGTAAACTTTTGTACCTTTCTTTGGCTTGTAGTTACTAGTGGGGGTGTGCTGGGTTATGGGAATTGGATTAATTTTGTGCTATTTGTAGGTGTGGTATTTAAAAACTTCCCACCTTAAACTTGCATTGTGAGCATCATTATTGCTTACATACCAACCACTTTGTGGAGAAATAATATAAAAAATTTGTAATACATCCAGGTATAAAGTGTCTATGTGAATTTCTTGCAGAAAAATACATAACAGGAAATACGTCCGACAATCTCACTGACCCATAATCCATGATATGGTACCACAACTATAAGTCATCAGTAGCAAGAAATAGGGTCTATGGTATATACGACTGGTTTTACTGCATTAAGGTTGTGGGAAAAATTATGTGTGCCTAAATACGTGCCATTACGGTAGTATTCAACGTAAACATGATGCGTAGATTGGGAGGTACTACGCTTCAATCAGTTGGTATTCAATTCTATTTGTCATTTTTGGGGGGAGGGGGAAGAATGAAAGAGGTCTTTCAATAAGGTGGAAGAAATGATGAACGGTTCCTTATATATTTCGTTCTTCCAAGGTCAGCTTGAATCTACAATGGAGCAAGTAGTGCAGCTTGCTGTCCAGGAGATAACCAAAACCGTCGGAGCGAGCTTAAATTCCCTGTTGTTAGAAACGACCGCCAAGGACCAGGAAAACCAGCGGTTAAGGTTAAGGCTCCAGTCGAGTAAGTTTGACTCCGGGGTGGCTGGAAATGCTTATGGTCACGGTAAAGGTATGGAGGAGGACTCGACGAGCGAAGATATAAAGATTCCGGTACACGCCGCCAATCTAAGCTCTCAACTCGCCATGCACATCAGCAGTTACAGACTGGAACAGAGAGGGCAGGCTGTCGGTAAGCTCTCTCGTAAACTAGTTTGTTTTCTTTTCTTTGGTCTAAATCTTTTTCCTGTCAGTTATTTTGACGTGATTTTTATTTTATATTTTGCTACGGGCATGTCTGGATGTTGTTTTCCGATGCTCTGCGCAGTGAAAAGCGTTGGAAAAAAAACCGTTTGCGTGACGTCAGGGAATTTGCAGGGCATGAACGCTGTAGCATCTACGTATTGCGCTGTTCTTTAAAATGCAACGTGTTAAAAATATCCATTCATTACGTTTTAAAATTCCATCACTGTAGATTTTGGAAATACCTGTGCGTTCATTTGGGACCATTCGTAATTACTGCCATCAATCGATATGAATGAATGCCTTTTATTGTCATTATGCACATGTATAATGAGATTAAGATATGCACTCGAATTAAATACATTCAGTGTAGTAGCATCACTTTAACATTTTATGTTAATATTTTAAAAAAACATGGCGACAGGAATAGCAATTCATCGTTTGGTCTAGGGATAAATGCAGAACATACTTATTGCACAGCTGTTAAAAAAGCGTACAATGCTAGCAATGGACCGAATGTCTTATCTGGTTGCAAATGTTTGAAAGGCATGAAGCCCACGATGGTTATCAGTGATATTAACATATTAGCGTTAATCATATAAACGCATTATGAAAAACCTTAAGGTAGTATCTACAGTATGAGTGAGAAATTCCAGTATAGCGAATATTGGGTAATGGTGTATTGCACAAAAATCCATTTAATCTTTAATCGATTATATTCTGATTTTGGAGCGGGTGATTTCTGTTCTATTTATTTATAGAATCCCTTTTTTTTCTTTCTAAAAATTTTACATTACATTTTATTTTCACCTAAAGGGATAGCTGCACCATGTCACCACTAGACAAATGCATTGGAGTACAATGTGCTTCTATGGTTCCCTGCTGGGTTGTGAAACATTTGAATACTGCTTTTTATTTGACGTGCAAATAAAATGTGCAATATTGTATGAAAAATTTTGGTAAAAGATAGAAAATGTCTGGGGTCTGACACGCAACAACTTTTATCTGTACTTATAATGATATGTGAACAGAGGCCAATTGGGTGTGTTACATGTCCCAAGTGTGGGGCTTGTGGGACAGGTTGTAGAACCAAAGCCTCCAAATTTACAGAAGATGGTATACCAAGTATCAGATATCATCGATAACAGGAAGCTTCAGGATTTTCATTAATTACGTTTTGTTTTCCTCTCATATTTACATGTGGCTTTGTAGCAGTTATGCTGTTACATAGAGAATAACTATCAGAAATTCACTCTTAAATACCAGAAAGTTACAAAGTAGTGATTAAATACTTAACATATATTTATAGTATTGACTATATGCTATATTATGCACTTTTTTCATAAGGCATAAGTATAGACATTATATTTATAATTAACTCATAACATACCAAATAAAAACCCTATGTTTCTTAAGGTAAATTATCATTTATCCATTGAAACTAACATTAACAAAATATTTGGAAATGTTTGTATCTCTCTCACACACACACAAACAATATATATGTACAAAAGTATTGGGACAACTTGCCATTGCATCCAAAGGAAATTTTATGACATCCCATTCTAAATTCATAGGCATCATTATGGAGCTGGTCTCCTCTTTGCCACTCTCCTGGGAATGCTTTCCATAAAATTTTGGAGTGTGCCTGTGGGAATTTTTGCCCATTCATCCAGGAGAGCATTTGTGAGGTCAGGCCCTGATGTTGGACATGAAGGCCTGGCTCCCAATCTCCATTCTTGTTCATATGCATACCAAGACATTTTGGAGAATTCTATGCTTCCAACTTTGTGGGAACGGTATGGGGTAATTTTCAGGGTTTGGGTTAGGCCTGTTTGTTCCAGTGAAAGGAACTGTTAATGCTTCAGCATACCAAGACATGTCGAACAATTCTATGCTTCCAACTGTGTGGAAAGAGTTTTGGGGAAGGTCCTTTTCTGTTCCAACATGGCTGTGCCCCAGGGCACAAAGCAAGTTCCATAAAGACATGATTGGGTGAGTTTAGTGTGGAAGTACTTATGGAATAACTTGACTGGCCTGCACAGAACCCTGATCTCAACCTCATTGAACACCTTTGGAATTCACAAGAAGAGTGGCAACTGTTATAGCTGCAAAGGGGAGACCAATTCCCTATTCCATAAACAGGATGCCTTGGTAGTCTTGAGACTTCATTGTGCCCTGCACAGATTCAAGGTTCCCCATGTCAAATGCAGCAGAGCCGCCCCAAAACAAAATACTTTTTGCCCCCTCCATGCTTCACAGTAGGTATGGTGTTCTTTTCTTTTAAAGCTTCATTTTTCCTTCTGTAATCATAGAGCTCATGTGACTGGCCAGAAAGCTCCAGTTTTGTCTCGTCAGTCCAACGGACATTTTCTCAGAAACTTTGGGGCTTGTCAGCATGCATTTTAGTGAATTCCACTCTGGCTTCTCTATATTTTTCTGGGTCTTCTTCCATGGAGTCCATTATTATTGGTGCAATCATAAAGTGATGTACCATGACCCTGGAGCTCAGCTTGAATGGCTTTGGATGGTTTCCGTGTCTCTTTTTCTACCATCCACACTATCCTTCTGATCAACCTGGGGTTGCATTTCCTCTTGCATCCATATCCTGGGAGGCTGGCTACAATCCCATGAACCTTATACTTTTTAATAATATTGGCAACTGTGGTCGCAGGAACATGAAGCTGCTTGGAGATGGTCTTATAGCCTTTACCTTTAACAAGGTCTTCTTTCTGACAGCTCTCCTTTGCTTTCTCTGGTCCATGTTCAGTGTGCTGCACACAATGATACCAAACAACACAGTAGCATGTTCTTTCCCTTTAAGTAGGCTGAATGAGTGATGAAAAGCTTGAAGGTACCTCTAATACTAACTAAGGTTAAACATTTAGTTTGAAAAATGATTGTAATGCAAGGATAAATAGTCTCTTTAGGGGTACCAACAAATCTCCATACTATTCTAATAAAATAACAAATTCCTTTTCATAATTTTTTTGGCTTACTGTATCACATACTAAAGGCATGCATTAGACAATTACCTTTAATTGAATCACTTTTCAGAAGAAATGAAGCATTGTTTCAATGAGCTGTAATGGTACCAAAAAAATTGTCCACATCTGTAATGCACTCCATAAGTGATAAGGACATATTGATCAAAACCTTCCTGTTTTAAGCATGATTTTTATATATTTCTGTGTGTCATATTACACCTAGAGATGAAACAATATGAACATTTTACATACGATTATATGGCCAAAATTCACGGATATTAATATTATCACAGTATTGTTAAAACAAACCCACATTGCATGCTGCGGCTGCATGCCTGTGTCTGGGACACTGTTGCTAACTTTTAGTTTATGCTATATAGTATTAATGTAACTTTTTTTTTTTTTTTTTTCTTTTTAAAGCTTGGCAATCATCCATGGATTTAATGGTGATTAAAATTTGAAGCGGTACTACCAAATGTTTACCAGTAACCATTTAATCCCTAGTTACTAATGTATAAAACTAATTTTTCATCTCAGTTAAAACTCAACTACAAAATTATTTTATTTAAAGTTAGGGCAAGTTGTATATTTTGTAAATACAGTGCTCTCCATAATACTTGGGACAAAGACACATTTTTCCTTGATTTACCCCTCTGCTCCACAGTTTCAAATTTCAAATGAAACAATTCATACATGATTAAAACGCACATTCCATACTTTTATATTATAGTTATTTGCATACATTTCAGTTTTACCATGTAGAATTTACAAAACATTTTATTCATAGTCTCCCTGTTTCAGGGCACCATATTGTTAGGAACAAAGCAATGGTGAATATATTAAAGCAGTCATGTTTAGTTCTTTGAATTTCCCTTGCATGCAGTGACTGCTCGAAGTCAGCGATTCATATACATCACCAGCTGCTGAGTATCTTCTCTCTACTGCAGCCTTCTTCAGCTCCTGCTTGTTTCGCGGGCCTGTCCCTTTATAATTCTTCTTCAGCATATGGAAGGTACATTCAGTTGGGTTTAAACCAGCTGACTGGCTTGGTCATTCAAGAATTTTCCATTTTTAGCTTTGAGAAACTTCCGTGTTGCCTTAGCAGTATGTTTGGGATCATCATCTTGTTGTGGGATGAAGTACTGTCCAATGAGTTTTGAGGCTTTTACTGGACCTTGAGCAGATGATGTTTCTATGTACCTCAAAATCCATTGTGCGACTACTGTCAGCAGTTACATCATCAATGAAGATAATTGTGCCTGTACCTATGGCAGTTATACATGGCGCAAGCCATAACACTCCCACCACCATGTTTAACAGGTGAGGTTGTATGCTTTGGATCTTGGACAGTCCCTATTCATCTCCACCCTTTCCTTTTGCTATCACTCTGATACTTGTACCTCTTGGTCTCATCTGTCCATGAGACCTTTTTCAAGAATTCTGCAGGCTCTTTTAAGTGCTTTTTCTCAAACTGTAATCTGGCAATTCTGTATTTGTGGTTAACTAGTTTGCATCTTGCAGTGTAGCCTCTGTATTTCTGTTCATGAAGTCTTCTGCAGACACACCTGCCTTCTGAAGACTGTTTCTAATCCTTTGGACAGATGTTTTGTGATTTTATTTTATTTTTTTTTTCTTTCCCATAGTAAGGTTTCTTCTGTGATCGGTAGTGGAGGTCTTCTTTGGCCTACCAGTCCCTTTGTGATTACTGAGATCACCAGCGCATTCTTTCTTCTTAATGATATTCCAGACAGTTGATTTTGGTAATCCTAAGGTTTGACATGTTTATAATGGTTTTATTCTTGTTTTTCAGACTCCAAATGGTAGAAGCAAGCCTAGGTATCTTATCCCTGCACTAATGAAGCAATGAAACACACCTGAGTAATCACAAACACCTGTGAAGCCAAATGTCCCAAACATTATGGTGCCCTGCAATGAGGGGGACTATGTATAAAATGTGTTGTAA